CGATCTAATAGGTCGAAGGGAGGAAATCGGCAGGAGGAGGTCTCTCAAGTACTCAGATCCACTACCATGGAGGGCTTTATGGGTGGTAAGTAGCACCTTGAAGTGCACTCGGAGGTCAACAGGTAGCCAGCGCAGCTCGCGGAGGATAGATGTTATGTGGGCGAACCGCGGTGCGCCCACAATCACTCGCGCGGCCGCATTCTGGACTAGCTGAAGCCGCCGGATGCTCTTCAAGGGCAGCCCCAAAAGAGATGTTAAAAAAATGATCTGCAATTAGTCCTGTAGTCTTAGAATATTTTATAGTATTCAGTTACACCCTTTGTTCTATTCCTGCAGATGGAAATAATGAATAACTTCCAATTGAATAGTTATTGTACAGACATTTAAACAAACCTTTTAAACACTGCCTTGCTTCAATTTTAAAAATTGCACAAATTCAAATATTTCAAATATTATTTTGTATTTATTATGTGCTAAAGAAAAAAAATAAAAATTGAAATATATTTTCCTGTGTTTGTTCTTCATCACAATGGATACACTAATATTTTTTGTACAGGCAAGATTTGATAGATGTATACAGTATAAAATGCTTTTGTCCCCCCCCCCCCTTTTAACTTTAAAAAATCTTAAAAGATATAGTATTGTTTTTCTATTGATTTTGGGTTTGGGGAATAAAACCTTTCACTTGAAAAAGAAATATGTTTTTCAAAATTATTTATGATTTTGAACTTGACTATCTTGGTTTAAGATTTGACACTCATCCAGCAAGAAATTGATGCTTTAGAAGAACTTAGTCGGCAACTTTTCTTGGAAACAGTTGATTTGCATGCTACCAAGGTGCAAACTAAGGGCATTGTTCCCAAGTCTGATGGGTGGGTAACTGGGATTGATATATGAGGGAAAATGTGAAAAAAAACTGGAAAATACAGATTAAATGAGTCCAGAGAAATGTTATGATTTTATGATTACTGGTCTATTTTTTTAAATGTCAAAAGCTTGTACAACTTTTTTAAAAAAGTCTGTTTATTAAAAAATGCTCATGAATGCTTGCAAATTGAAACTTTCCAGAAATAGATATCATGTTTTGTGACTCAAAAGGCAGGCCTAGAACACCAGAAATTTGGTTTTGTTCACATATTCTGTAATTTTGGTTCATCTTAGACAAATGTTGATTTTGCAATTCCATAGATTCATTATCTATTAAGAAGCTAAACTATCTGTAGAAATGATCTGTACTGAATTTAAAACCATATGCTAGTTTAAAATAATAAATCTAAATATTTTCTCTCTCTGAAAAAAATCTATTTGCAGGAAAGAATAGAATATTCTAAAACATTCCAAGGGAAATATTTCAACTTTCTGGGTTATTTTTTCTCCATTTACTGTGTCTGGAAAACTTTTATGGTATGTAAGGCTGCTGTTTGTACAATCAGTTATAATTTGTAGGGTGACAAAATATGTGCTTAATAAAAAAATGCTTTCTAACTCCCCTTCCTCCCTTTTTAAAAGTGTTTTGTTGATTATAAATACAATCACATTTTAAGCAAGAATGGAGTTTTTTTTCTCATACAGAAACATCTATAAAAGATAAATGTGTATATCTTACAATATACACATTTAGTATATTGTGTATATGTGTATTTTGTTTTAGTGAAAATATCTCATATTTCTCTTTTTCATCTCTTCAGGCAACAATCAATATTGTATTTGACCGAGTTGGAAAGACAGATCCAGTAACGAGAGGAATTGAGATTACTGTGAATTATTTGGGGATACAGTTTGATGTAAGAGCTCTTTTAGATTGTAATCCTACCCACTAATCCCCATCATTCTTAATTTCTGTTTTATAGAGAGCTTGGTAATGTAATACTAAACTTTTGTTGAAAGTATAGTCTTGGGTAATTTATTTGTCTATAGCTGCTGCTAAAATTATATTGTGAGAAGACAATGATTTATTCATCTTTCTGTATAATTCTTAAAAGCCATTTCTATTGGAACTTATGTTTTGAAGACACTTAAAGATTCTAGAGTACTTGGAAGATTCTAAGTTGCAAGAGACAGTTCTAATCAGCTCAGCATTAATTCTGCACTGTTTCTGTATACCGTGCTAACAGTTATTTTTTTCTGAAAGTATTCTTCCTGATACAGGAAGCCCTTGTTTAACACCCACAGTTTGGATGGCACCTTGGTCGCTAAGTGAAGCTGTGACTGTGCTTATAGTCTTATTTGCTTTACAGACCAGTAAAGGTTGGAAATTGAGGTCTGGTTACAATAGGGATGTCAAACTTACGTCAGGGCAGCGTCATGTGACGTATCGAGACTTTTCTCCCCTTTGCTAAACCTAGCATGTATGTGGCCAGAATGTGATGCATCTAGACCGTGGGCTGGGAGTTTGACAGCCTTGGTTTACAAGTTACCTTTTCATCACCATGGTTATTAAACAAGGACTATTTGTACTCTTCAAAAGGTTCTGTGCACATAAATAGCAACTGAAGTTAAATAGCCTTTCATGTCCTACATGGTCAGTGTAATTATCTGTATCTGAGAGTTTAACCATTTCCTGTCTTTATTACTACAGGTAAAATTCTGGTCCCAGCATATTTCATTTATTCTTGTTGGAATAATTATTGTCACCTCTATCAGGGGCTTATTAATAACACTCACAAAGGTAAGCCCAAGTGCAATCTTAGTATATGAACTGTGTTGAAGTAAAGAAGAGAGCATATTAATATATCTCTTAAAAGTGTTATGACTAAATTGTCAAAAATATGGAATCACTGCAGGAAGTAGCAACTTTAAATTGAGTTTGTTTTAATATTGTTATCCTGAGAGGTACCTAACTTTTGGTCTACAGTCTTATAGAGAGGTGCAGTATTAAGACCCAAATTACTTCAGATATGGGCAGTTGTGTTTTCTGCATCACTTTACAGTTTTTAAGGCCAGAGGTGGGGAACAAAGTTTCCCTATATCAGGGGTGTCAAACTTGATTCCATTGAGGGCCACATCAGCGTTGTATTTAACCTTCTGGGGGGTCATGGAGGGCATGGCCAGGGTGGATATGGCCAGCTCGATGGCACTCATGTTGGGGGCACCTGTGAGCACTCTGCCAGCAGAAATGGGCTCCTGAGCTCCATTTTCGGCTGCGATGGCCTCCTGCAACCCTCTGCCAGCAAAAATGGAGCTCCATTTTCACAGGCAGAAGCACCATGGGCTGATCCTTTGCTGTGCAGATCTAACGGGCCAGATCTAAACACCTCACAGGCTGAATCCAGCCTGTGAGGGCCAGACCTACGGGCCAGATCTAAACACCTCACAGGCTGAATCCAGCCCCAAGGCCTTGAGTTTGACACCCCTGACTGATATGAATCTAATATATGATTGCTTAATAAGTCACAATAAAACATTGATCTTAATTTTATTAAAAAGTGAAAGAAATTAAATTACGACTTTCATTTAGATAAGTTTTAACCATACAAGGCTGCTATAAAGGTGCTTTTTATATACATAATAGTTCTGTTATATAATGATAATCATGCTCTTAGTGAAATGCTGCTGTTTTTTTGCACACTAGAAAACATCTCAAGTAGATTGGCCAATCTTGCCACATCAGCAATTTGCTTAGTTGCACATTGCTCAAGTGCCACTATTTATAGTTGAATTACATGAAATGTTATAATTATTACTTATACAATCCCCTTTGTCCCTGGGCTATGCCATTTGTGTTGGATTTGCAAAAATGTAGATTGCTATTTTTGTAATCATGATAGCATTTTTCATCTAAATTCTGCAGTTGCTTGGGTGTTAACCTAAGTGTTTACTTAAATGCATGTCTGAAGATTATCAGGACTGCTTGCATGTAGGACAAATTATTATTATTTTTGTATAGGTGATTCTGGGTGAATGTGGAGTGGAATGTAAAGTATATTGAAACATGTGTAATGGAAAAATAGGGGTTTTACTATACCTTACATTGTTTCTAACAAGGAGTTCTAATGATGGTGATCATATTAATCATGACGATCTTTCATTACTATAAATGTGACTTCTTTTTAATTTAGCTCTAAAACATTTATTAAATCATGTTTGCCATATTGTTATTGTTATCTCAGCCTATGAGCTGATTTTCTGTGTTTATCTTTCTTAGTTTTTCTATGCTATCTCAAGCAGCAAGTCTTCTAATGTTATTGTTCTGTTGCTGGCACAGATTATGGTGAGTATTTTAACCCGTTTGAGTAGCAACTTTGCTTTCTCAGCTATGTCAGCAGCGGGGAAAAATGGGAAGTCTAATGTTTCCTTTATCTTCTTTGCAGGGAATGTATTTTGTGTCTTCTGTGCTTCTGATTCGAATGAGTATGCCTTTAGAGTATCGTACTATCATCACCGAAGTTTTAGGAGAATTACAGTTTAATTTCTACCACCGATGGTTTGATGTTATATTTCTTGTCAGTGCTCTCTCCAGCATCCTGTTTCTCTATCTGGCACATAAGCAGGCTCCTGAGAAACATATGACACTCTGAATTTATTTTAATTCTACAGCCTGCAGTTATTTTCAATTATGAAATTGGCATATCACCATTTTAAGATGACTCTTCAATGATGGACACTCATTTCTTTGGTTCAAATCAGATGCTTCACTATAGACATGGACTGACAAGCAGTCTCACAAGGACAGCCTCCAGCTCCATAAAAAATAAAAATAAAAAATAAAAGGGAATATTAGAGACCTCTCAAAAGTCTGAATATGATGATACCATTCTGCAATTTTTATTCAATGGAGTTGGCAAAATATTTGCTTCATCGTCTTTACCTTGAAGATAATGATTCTAAAGACTAAATAAAACAATATTTATAAAAATTCCCAATATTTTTCTTACAGTTTATAGATTTTTAAAGTTTCTTCTTTGAAGTGGAACGAAGTTTGATGAATTACTAATTTCTGACTGAAGTGGAAAAAAATCCCTATCTTCCTGGAACTCAAAAATAACAGGCAGTGTCTAGCACTGTTAATCACTTCCCCCCTTTCATTCCATTAAATTAGCATTCACAATGTCAGGTCTAAGCATTAAAAGTGGTCATCTTCAAAACTTAATCTGGCTCTCAGAACTCCTCCAAATGTTATTTCTTAGTTATAACTTAATGTAATACAATGGAAAACGTAACACACTTTTCGGATAGGCTCTTCTCATGCTTCTTAGAAACCAGCAACTTACCCAGTAATTCCCATGTAACTACAATTTTTCTGAAAAACCTTGTGCAAAAATGGAAGTTTAATATGTAAAATGAAGAATGTACAATAGTTAAATATCTTGCTAATAATTTAATATAGTGGCACTGAAGGGAATCTATCAACCTTCTGATTTATCAGTAATATCTTTTGGTTTGTTGATAAGGAAATATTGCTAGGACTTGATACTGGCTTCAACATCTAGATCAGTGTTTCATAAATTGTGATCCTGAGGACTCAAGGTTTCCCCCCAGTTCCTCTTGGGTCCACAAAATTAAAATTACTTGCCAGCCTTTATTGAAAAGTAATACAATATTAAAATTCTACTGAGCAAATGTTAGAAGAAGCAGTAGCAGCAAATTGTCAAATTTAATATAAATATTGACATCCAGTTTAGTTGTAGTGGTTAAGGCACCAGGCCAGAAACTGAGTTATTACTGAGTTCTGGTCCTGCCTTAGGCATGAAAGCCAATGGGGTGACCTTGGGCCAGTGTTTCTCTCACAACTTAAAAATCAAACAGTGGCAAACCACTTCCAACATCTCACCAAGTAAATTTAAGAGACTTGTCCTGGCAGTTGTCAGGAATCAACTGACAGGAAGACATCAATATCCAATAAATATAAAAACATATAAACAAAAGTGAATATAGAGTCCCACATAAATTTTTCAAAATGGGAAAGGGTCATGAGGAAAACAAAGTTTGTGAAACACTGATCTATATTGTTGGCATTACAAGGCTCAAAAAAGCTTTGTGGAATTGGGAACTCAGTAACATTTTTTATCCTTTAAGTAGATGAGAAAAAGGAATGAAAGGAATATGCTGAAAGAATAATAATGAAACACAAACCAAGACTGTGAACATACATCTTAACCATAGGAAAAATCTTGATTATTTTTTTTAATATTTACTTTGAAAGAGCCTCTTGTCTTCATTATTCTTTCACAAAAAAGACAACTGTGAATGATACACTCAAATTCATAACAAAAGCCTATATAGCATTGGTTGGTTCTTGGCTTCTTTTATAGGACTATTCTGTTACTACAGCAGGAAATGCATAAGAGGGCAACATTACTGGAAGGAAAGAATTTCTAATTCTAATTTTTACCTTTAATTTGAGGTGGAGGGAGCTGGGGATGAGAGGAAAATTGTGCTCCTGAAGTTTGATAATTTGCTACTAAAATTCAATGCTCCAGTCTTGTGATACTAAGGGGCAGGATTGGCATCCCTTGCATTAAATAACTTAGAGCAGCTGCTCATGGGTGGAACAAGTGAATGCAATTGGAATAATGTGCTCTGACATGTTAGTTGGTAAGTCAGAAGCTGTATGTGAAAGACAAACTGATTATTTATTTGCCATCTTTATTATTTGTATAACTAAAGGGGGAGAACATACCTAATACAGTATTCCCCCCCTATTTTCATTCGCAGCATTTTAAATGAGATAAAATGAAACAATTTATTTTTAAACTCGGTATCTATCAGAAACTAGATCTAATAAAGTAGCTATCGTAGTATTCTTTGGTTTCTTTGCAGAACCTAATGCTTAGCCAAGAGACCTAAAGTTAATTCTGCACTTAATTAAAATTGGATGTACAGTGGAACCTCAGGTCATGAATGCTTCTGACCACAATCAAATCAGGTGCCGACCAAAAAAATTAGCTAAATGTTTCACACTGTTCACGAACACATCCTCCGGTGGTGATCAGTTAGAACCGCAGCGATTTCCCCTTCCATGCCTTTTGTGTGTGCGTGCGCATGCGCAGTCAGTCTTGCTTCCAATCACAACCAAATTGGGTGCTGACCGAAGTCCTGGAATAGATTATAGGTGTGACTGGAGGTTCCATTGTAGTTGACAAAAATATCACAGAATAAATTCAATATATCTTAGTTTTAATTGACATAAGTCTTCTTTCATATAATTGACTTCTCATTGTGATTTCATTTAGCATGATCGTAGTTTCTGGGAAAAAAAAAAAATCTCCGGTTGCAGAGATTTTACTAATGTTCAAATTAACGTGGGGAAAAAAAACTTGGTTTACACCATCTATTTGTATATCCAAATCACATCTCTGCCTCCATTTTAAACACCTGCACACTGAGGAATGAAGGACAAGAACACAGTATCATGTACTGACTTAGTACTGTACTCTAATACCATCTTTGGCTGAAATTAATCCTGTGATGATTTGCATCCAGTGTTGTATGGTGGAGTGTGCTCTGAGAACAGCTTAGCTTTATTATTTTTAGTACATTCATTTTAAAATAATTCTCAGTGTGACTTGGTTTTAAGTAAGTATTATAGGATTACAGTTAATTTTTTTTGGCAGTATTGGCACATTTGCTTCAGAATAGCAGGTACAATATGGAAAAAGACTTGGATTCTGCTATCTTCACAATTCAGTGTCTTCTTCAGAGGAAGATGAGCTGGCCTAATGAAAGAAAGCAATAACTCTTGTTAGAAAGACTGCAAATAGATTTATAGCACCGTTAAGGGGAATCAGTTACAGTATATCATAAACATAGATTTATAGATTGAGCTGTGAGATGAATTGATGATCTGATTATGAATGCTTAAAATTTTATAATAAAACTCTTTTAAAAACCAAATTTAGCTGGTTAATTACAAATGTTTAGTCATTCTGTTATTTAAGCACAGCTTGAGCAAAGGTCAGCTTAGCTCTCTAAACCAATTCTTTAAGATAGATCATTCAATCATTTGCAGTGTTATCATATTGGTTTGATAACCAGATTCCACAGATTCTTGTTAGATTTTTCTGAAGTTAATGAAACTCACCCTTTCTTGTGGTTCTGCCAGTTCATTTTTTGGCTCTGTTGCTTGTATCTCTGCATAAGCAGGAGGCTCACCCTGGTCACCATTTAATGGGTCAGCCATTGAGGCTGTAACAGCCTTATTCTGGGAGCAGAAGTGCTGATAAGCCTTTTCTTCACACACCAATAGTGTTAGGCTGTTACCACTGTCTTGGATTCTTGCTACTACATCTTCATACTCTTCATTCTCTACATTGGTACCATTCACTTCTATCACAATGTCATCATCTTGCAGCCCAGCTATATTGGCAGGTCCATCCTTTTTTACCTGCAATTAGATTGTCTGAAATTACTGTAGTAGAAGCTGCTGTTCTGCTTGATTGAGAGCAGCAGGCAGTCCGTGGTAAGTGGCGTACATACAAATACAAATTAACTTTTTATTCAAGCATCTGAGGGCTAGTTGTAGCCAGGTGGATAAAGACATGACTATTTGGGGAGGGGGACGTGCTTAGAGAGTGCCTGCAAGATGACAGTGTGGTGTTACAATTGGAGCCCATTTGTTTTGTGCAAAAATGGTATGTGGTCAGTTGCAATGCCTTGACTTCCATTTCACAGATTCAGAGCCATTGGGCTTTCTGGGTTGTGGACTACATTCCTGCTGCCATAAGAGAGGTGACAATCCTAGTCGAGGGTAAAACTCAGAAGTGGCTGCATTCTTGATCCAGCCAGAGTTTCTGGATTTATCACCTCAGACTGGAGAGGACTATTATCTTAAAGCCTCACAAATCCCACAAGGTGTGTTGCTATGTTTGGACCAGACAGGCTGGTCATCTGAGAAGAGGGACAGAAGAATCTGTTATTGGCTCCTTTGGGGGCGAGTGCTACAAGTGAGCACTTAAGACTCATATTTGAATTAAGGTCTCAAATGCTTGCAGAAACTTAAGATAATTATTGTGTCCAATAATGTCCTCTCCCCAACATGAAAAAGCACCATTATGGAGAGGGGCTTGCAATTTCTAAAAAAACAAACTACACACAAACTTTATCCCTTGCTCCAGATAAATAGGGACACACCTAACCTGACTGCAGCTATATTTTTTATTTTCTGCTCTTTAGTGAAATAGTAATGACAAGATAAGTTTGTTATCAGTACATACAAATCAATATTTTTTTTAAATGACTGCTTTTAAAGTAACAAAGTGTCTGAAAAACAAAACTCCAGTTTCCATGAATAGGGAAACATTCACTGTCTCTGTAAGTAATGGCTCTATATTATTTTCCCCATCATTTATCATAATTTATGACAAGAGATTATGAAGACAATTTACTTGGGTGAAAATCGAAAACACAAAGTTACCTCTTAAGCTACACTGAACATATCGTAACTTCAGAATTTATATCAATTCCTATTACTTTTTCTGAAAATAATTGAGATTGAATTTTTTATACTGACTATCTCTATTTGTACACTCCTATCAATGTGGAAAATAAAATTGGTGGAAAATTTTATTACTTGGACTTTAGGAAAAAAACTGCAAATATATTTATCATTTACTGTAGACTAACACTTTTTAAAAAATAATTATTAGTCTGAATCTGATTATCTGATACTATTTTATGACAATTTATTTAAAGTGCATAAAATGCTAATTCAATCAACATTAATTCAATCACATTTTAAGAATGCTTTTGCCAAAAAAAGTTAGCAGAGAAGGAATGATTTTTTTTTAGATGGAATCAAAATATGAGAACAAAGGTTTATTACATTGCTTTAATATTAAACCCCAAAAGTATGTTTCCAGAATGAGCATTAATAAATTAGTATGTTTGGTTCTGGAACATATTTTACTGTGTCAGTTTCAAATTCCTTTTATTCAGCAGCTATTGTATCTTGGTAAGTCAGAGAACAAAGATATACCTCTATATTCTGCTGAGTACATTCACACTACAGGATAGAAGGCTGTGCTTTTTTTGCCTGATCAATTGTGACTTGTTTTGTTTGCCAATGAAAAGATTCTAAGATTCTGGAGTAATACCTCTTTGATGAACACTCCAGGTATATTTTTAATGGCATTCAATTGAAAGCCGAATCCGGTGGTACTTTTTGTGAGCTTACAGAGTCTGGGCTTGTGATTTTCTTCCTCAGTATGCTTGGGTATCTTCGCAATGCTCAGACGTGGCTCCAGTCTTGCTTGGTAGTAGAGACAAGGAGATATTTTAGCCTTAACCAAGAACAAAGAAACATGAATTGAAACATAATGAATATGAGCTGGAGCATGATGATGCACAATTCTTCATGTTGTGGAACAGCAGTGGAGACGCAGATGCCATGGATGTCTCCTGTCCATCAGCTCTTTACAGTTTTTCACAATCCAGAAGGAAGGAGGTTTAAATTGCTGGAGGCAGCTAAGTTGTAAGAAAGGATAGTTTGGTGACAGATTCTTGGAGTTGAGCAATGACTCCACTGTGACTCCCACTGGCATATTTTGACAATCAACTGAGGGACTTTGTGTGTGTCTGGGGGAGGTGGATAATAGCATAGACAAGTTGAAGCACTTCCCCATTGTTGGAGAGAAGCTAAACAGGAAAGAGAATTACACATGCCCAAATGCTTGTATATTTTAAATTATAAAGCTTAAAAATAAATTATCTGTCTTGGCCACCTCTGGCCTAAACATTACCCATTGTTATTTTGCCCCTTTCCACCACCACTGTGTAACTTCTGACCCCTTTCCTGGAGGAAATGCAGTTTGGGAGGTAATGTGCTAAGAGGCTCAGGCAGCTGCTCTAACAGAATTCAAGTTTCAGAGGGTGGTTGTGAAAAATAAATGGAGTACTACGAATGCTTCCATTAGCTCCTAAAGGAAAGGTGGAATATACATCTATAAGGGAATTAAATTAAAATCTGAATAGGACTAAAACAAATTCAGATGTCAGGAAAAAGACACTGGAAACTTGAGGCATAGCCTAGACTTTTACAGGCAAAATAAGCAGAGGCAATCTCAAACTACAGTATATAATTTCTCCTGCCTATCAGTAGATCACATCGCCAATTACTCTTGTTCCTACATCCTGTGAAAATAGCAAAAATTAGAGAAAATAAAGCAAAAATAGTTCTGAAACTCTTGATTGATATGGTAATTTTGTCACTTTAAGATCCTACCCTGTTTTCCCCAAAATAAGACCTCCCTGGATAATAAGCCCAATCGGGCTTTTGAACACATGCACTAAAATAAGCCCTCCTCACTAAATAAGTCCTCCCCGAAAATATTGCAACACAGCAGCAGCCATGAGGTGACCATACTCACCATCTCCTACACCTAAAATATAATAAGACCTCCCGGAAAATAAGGCCAAGCACTTATTTTGGGGGTCAAAAGAAAATAAGACTCTGTGTTATTTTCGGGGAAATACGGTATCATTGCTTATGTACTTATATTTCACTTTGAATCTAGGCATCTTTACTTGGAACAGCTTATACCCTGTGATGACACCTTTAACACCCTCAAACAATAATATCTGCCTACTCCAGGTCCTTGGGAAGGACTCAAAATGCTAAATTCAGTCTAAATATTTGACTGACTATACAACCAACCATAATGTAGGTAGTCTTCAACTTACAGCAGTTTATTTAGTGACTGTTCAAAGGTACAATGGCACTGAAAAAAGTGACATGAACATTATTTACACGTATGATCTTTGTAGCATCCCCATGCTCATATGATCAAAATTCAAATGTTTGCCAACTGGTTCATACTTATCACTGTTGCTGTGTCTTAAGGTCACATGATCACCTTTTGCAACTTTTTGACAAGCAAAATCAATGGGAAAGCCAGATTAATTAATAACCTTGTTGCTAACATAACTGTGGTGATTCACTTAACAACTGTGGCAAGAAAGGTCATAAAATGGGGCAAATTCAACTTAACAAATGTCTCACTTAAAACATAAATTTTGGGCTCAATTGTGGTCATAAGTTAAGGTGTACCTTGATATGAAAAATTAAGGCAATTATCTTGAAAGGAATCAATAATTTCAAGAGGAAGAGAGTACCATAAATAAATCTCCATCAACTCTCATTTGTTTCAATCTAAGATTGATAGAAAATTGAAAGATGCCCTTATGGCTGAAGTAGGGTTACACAATTGAGAGCAGTTTATGCAATTCCTGTTGTTGCTATCTTATCTGATTTTTCTGATTTACATCAAACCCTTTATTAAATATAAGCTATATTGTATTAAAACTGTACATGTTGTATGGCTCTAATATGACGTGATTTGTTTAGAAGTCCTCATAAAAGTAATTAGGACAGAGTGGGAATAAGGTTTATAAGGACAACTGTATTTTAAATATGAATTGTATAGAAAAGTTTTAAATCAAGATAATCTCATGCAGCAAAGTGGCATGGCATTTATGCTAAACTCTTTCTCTTCAAATTCATGGAGACTGGAAATCAGATTAACTAGGAAAAAGATAACTGGCAGATAGTGATTTAATAGTATAATCCTTATAAATGTCATGTCCTGTATGTCTTCAGCTCCTTTAGTCCTTTTTTTTGCATTTGCTCCATTACAGCAAGAAATAACACCTAATCAACCAGGGCTGAGTCGTTAAGCATGTTCATACCTGATTATTACTTGAATAAAAGATCACCTGGAAATCAGTGGAAAGTTAAGAGAACATACTGAAAGAAGACAATAGCAAATCACGTCCATATTGTTCCCAAGAGGAGAAATCAAGGTCACTTCAACATAACTTCTCTTAGGGGCCAAATAATATAAAAGAACTGATTTGTTCAGTTCACATTCACTTGAGAATCCAAAATATAATGTGCAAACATTGTTATCAGTATCCAGATTACAAGGCAGATAGTTACAATGCCATTTAAATATTGAAATTGCCTCCTTAACAACACTCTTAATGTGATGTTTGCAAGAACTTGGAATTTACTATGTATGTAATGGATCTAATACATGTTCTTCTAGATTTTATTTAAATAAAAAGAATCAAACATAATGCTTGATTTCCCCATGAGATTACTTAGCCTATAATTTTGCCATGACAACATATTGGGCACCCCGGAAAGCAAATATTATTTTAACAACTGGACAGCCTGAGGGCTGTTGTGTTGTCCTTTCCTCATCCTTAAAATGGAAGCAGGATTACAATGTCAAAAATTGCTGCAGTGAAATTTCAATTTTTAGCTGCATTGAGCATCTTTTCCTTAGTAACCATATTTCAGAATCCTGGCTTTTGACCTAACTAATTCTGACTTTGTAGAAGTAGTCTGGTAGCTATGACTGCTGTTGTAAAAAAGCCTGGAAATTGAGCTTGAAATATTCCAGGGTGGGTATTCTTTTTATTATGAGAAGCAGAATTCAACTTCTGGAAAAGCATAACTAAGTGCCATGACTTCATTTGTCATGGCAAGAGAAAACAATGCAGACAAACCCGGTTCTGTAAAGCTACCAGAACTATTTTTTGGTTTTTAATGCTCAAGTGCTGCAAACAGAAGCTTGTCCTGTAACCAGAAAGGCTAGAAGAACATGTATATATAAAGATTTAAAGCTGATATTCTCAGAATGTTAGGTATACACACTTTGCATCAGGACAACCTTACAACAGCTACAGCTCTTTTCCCCTTCTAACCATGTCACAGCTCATGACATAATTTCCAAATTAACTCATTCTTGCATTGAAGCTGTGTACCTTACCATTTTATACATGGTATCAGTCTCTTCATCCACCACTAGTAAGGTTGTGTTGTCACCAGATTGTCTGATTTTCTCTACCACAGCTTCATGGTCCAGTGCTTCAATTGGTTCTCCATTTACAGCGACCAAGATATCATTGTCCCTGAGTCCTGCTTTAGCTGCAGGGCTGTCTGAATCGATGTCCTTAATGAAGTGACCTGCCCCAAAACAATTTTTTTAAAAAATCAGAAAAGTCTAACATAGCAAAGCATAGGCCCATAGCCAATATTTAATTATGTACTTTAGTTTTCAAACTATAGTATTAAGGCAGATAATAAGCTTGACCATGGCCCTTTCATTTTGATATATGCCCTCTGTTGTGGACATTCTAATAGAAGATTATACACCAGAAAGCAGAAGCCAAGCCAGGTCCATAAAACTGGAATAGGGGATTTTCCCTTCAACAATTGTTATGCAAGACTACAAAGGGAGATAACTGACTAAACGTGGAAGTAAATAATGGAGTTTTTAAAATGCAATTTCTCCTATTAATTATTATATGGCTTGGGAATTTACTATACATCTGTTAAAGAAGTAAAGTCCATACTGCATAGTTATACTATCCTGTGGCCGAATTCTTACCTTTGCCATTTTGCTCCATTCTCAGGTAAAATCCATAACCATTATTATCTTTTTGGAGCTCAAGATTTCGGGGCTTGTGAGGTAATAATTTCAGATTGGCCTTTCCCCTTGTCAACTGCATATTCCATCTGTAGTAATACTGGTCAGTTTCTTTATCTGACAGTAGAAATACAACCCGATTCCCAGACTTTTTTACCTAAGGACATAGACATAGAGTTTATATTTTTGCCCTGCTTGCAGGCTGAAACAGTCTCACCTACATACAACTAGTGCATAACAATATCCCTTTTTTGATGATATTTTCATTGGTGAAGCTAGAATTGTTCTGTACCATCATTATAAATCCTACATTTCTGAAATTGATATTTACATCATTTCCTCATATTTCTCATATTTCTATATTTCAGGTGTGCACAGTTTTTTTATCTATTTTGGAACTAACCACTTAATATATCAAGTAATACTATTAGTACTCAGAATTATTATTCAACGGAAATAAATTTTTATAATGGAAAATACAAAGCACAGAGATAGATATGACCTGATCTAATTTGGAAGGATGAAACACAATTAGGAGGAGGTTGTACTTAACTTTAGGGACCATGTAATTCACCTTGCTTAATATGAAAGAGTTAATTCAAACACATTTTTTTCCATTTATTGCATGCAACTTTATTTTCCATCTGTGTATGCCAGTCTTTGTCTAAGGCGATCTATTTGCGCATGCTGTGGCAAGATACAACTGGAACAATAATTATCTACATTCCATCAAATTACCATTCTAATTTGATCTGAATTATTTACAAGAATTGGCTGACACATAAGGTTAAGGCTTAAAGTACCTTCTCAACTACTTCTTCATGTGTATTGTTTTCCACATTCTCCCCGTTGATTTCTATAAGGCGATCATTTGGCTGCACTCCAGCTTTTACAGCTGCACCCAGTGGACTCAAATCTACAATGAATAAACCTTTCTGTCCTGGAAATGAGAAGCAAATGGCAGAAACAGAAATAATTCTTTACTTGTTAATATGTTCATTTTGCTCATGGTAAACAAAGCACAGGTAGCAGCATATCCAGTCTAGTTCAAACAACACTAATATGGCAGCAGAAATGTGGCAATAATATTTATGCCCATTCAGTGCCTCAGAAATTGGAAAAAAAAAACATTATTCTGTAACCCAGTTTATGATGCTTGAAGGGGGGGCTGCAATTATAGTGGTGTAAGTGACTGATTAGGTAAAGGTAAAGGTTCCCCTTACACATATGTGCTAGTGTTCCTGACTCTAGGGGGCAGTTCTCATCTCCGTTTCAAAGCCAAAGAGCCAGCGCTGTATGAAGACTTCTCCGTGGTCATGTGGCCGGCATGATTAAACACTAAGGTGCATGGAATACTATTACCTTTCCACCACAGGTGGTTCCTATTTTTTTTACTTGCATTTTACATGGTTTCAAACTGCTAGGTTGGGAGAAGCTAGACAAGTAATGGGACCTTACTCCATTATGCGGTGCTCGGGATTCGAAACGGCTGTTCTGCCGACCTTTCTGATCAACAAGCTCAGCATCTTAGCCACTGAGCCACCAAATCCCTTAAGTGACTGATTAGTAGTAGTTAATTATTAATTACTACTTGTTTTTTCAGTTTTCATTGAACTTGATTTAACATTTTACATCTACTTTTAAGTACCAAATTTCTCTCTCTCTCTCTCTCTCTCTCTCTCTCTCTCTCTCTCTCTCTCTCTCTCTCTCTTTCTT